TTGGTAGTTAAATCTCATAGATATTTGCCAGTATTGTATTTACCTTCTATATTGTGTTAGTATTTGCATTCACTTGGGACCTGCTTTGAGACCTAACACACATTCCTGACCTGTACCCTATTTTTTCTTGAAGATCTTTGATAAGTAAAAGAATGCTTGAATTTACCAGCCAGAAAGATCTGGTTAATGTTAACTGCTATTATAAGAAGCCGAGTTTTTGTCAAAAACTTTAGAAAGGCTAATCTAATTTATGCAAAATACTAGCCGTATTATTAATTTGTGTAATGGCATAAGAGTTAAGGATTAAAACTCTGATTCCACCACTTTATAGCTATGTCATCCTGAGCAAAGTACTTATCCCTTTAGTGGCTTACTTTCCTCATTTGTAACTAGGAATAGAATACCTAGATCATAAGGTTGCAAGAATTAAAATTGCTAATGTCTCAGTCGGTAGAGCATGAGACTCCTAAAATTGCTAATGCACGTTAGGCATTCTGAACAGAACAGAGGTTCTATATGTTTCAGCTATTATTATTTCCATTTAGGTTGGTTTTTAGCTATAGTTTTTAGCTACTTCCTAGATTAATTAATATTCAAGTTAGTCAAAAGTTGAACATTTTAATTAGCCTGAGCAAAATGAAGACCATGTCTAAATTTATCAAGAGATACTATCAGGTACCTGGGGCACCTGGGTGGCTCAGTCAGTTAAACATCTGACTCTTGGTTTCAGCTCAGGTCATGATCTTAGGGTCATGTGATCAAGCCCCATGTCAGGCTCCTTGCTTAGCAGGGAGGCTGCTTCTTCCTCTCCCTCTGCCCCTCCCCTCACTCACGCACACACATACTCTCCCTCTCTCTCTCAAATAAATAAATAAATGAAATCTTTAAAAAAAATAGTAGTTCCTTGGATTTGCTTCATATTGTACATCAGAACCTATATACTGGGGGTGTTCAAGTAAGAAAGAAAGATTTATATTCTCAGGGTTAACTCAAATTGAAGATTGGTCGCTGTTTGCTCCAAAATAATTTTATGTGTAGACAAAAGTGTTTCCCAGAGATTATTCATCACAGTAATTTGAAATAATGAAGGAAGGTATCATATGCATAATGTGAAAAAAAGAATAACAGCTTCTTTTAGTATAGGAAAATTAGGCGAATGACTTTAGTAGTTATTAGCATGTTGACTTTTACAGGTAACCTGCAGCTTCAGATTCTGTGGGACCGAGAATCTGTCCTCAGAGTCTTAAGGGCAGGATTCCTGCAAAGGTGCTCCAACCAAATGCGTAAAGAAGGTAGCAGTTTCATGTACAGTACGGGCTGATTTTCAAACCACACACTCTAGATTTTAAGTGCATTTTGTTTATCAAAGCCACTTACCCAGGGACATCCTTTAAAACTGGAGTTCTATTCTGGGAGAGTAGAATGAATGAGTAGAGTTGGACTTCCTCAAGTTTCCCAAACATACCAGCTCAGTATCACTGGATCTTGGAGTTGGAGTAGGGATGGGACAGAAATTCAGTCCTCTACAGGTACCAGTTTCCCTCTGGGTAGTTTGCATAGGCCTCATGGGCCGCAGAGAGGTAGACATACCTCTCTGAAAATAATAATAGCTAACATCTTGAATCAGGTGACTGTTAGTTTGCTACAACTGCAGTCACACAGTACCACAAACTGAGTAGCTGAACAACGGTTTGTCGTCTCAGGATTCAGAAGGCTTGAAGTCAGAGATCAAGCTGTGGGCAGGGTCGCATCCCCGCTGAAGGCACTAGGGAAGAATCTGTGTAGGGCGTGGCTTCTGGTAGTTTTTTGCCTTGTGGCAGCGTCGCTGTGCTCTTTACATGGCATCCTCTGTGTGTGTCCCTGTCTTTGCATGGCCCTCTTCCTATAAGGATGCCAGTCAGATTAGAGTAGGGATCCACATTGCTCAAATACTATTTCCAAGGACACATTTTAGAAGGGAGAAGGTTAGGATTTCAATATATGAATGGAAGGACATAGTTCAAACCATAATAGTTAACTGGGTATTTTTATTGTCCTAATTGGGACAGTGGTGAAACTGAAGGGAGTACTGTTAATCATTTTTCTGGGATAACCAGCATAAACTGACTGCCTTAGGCAAACCTGAATATATGGTCACTGTCCCTATGAGATAGATACAATTTATCCCATTTTTCAGAGGTTCAGTCAGGTTGAATAACTTCCCCAGAGTTATAACTAGAAAGAGGACAAGTATTATTCAAATTCAGGACAATCAGATTCTAAAAAAAGGAGAAAATCTTTGCTTCTAACAAAAGGTAACGTTTTCATGTCTATAGAGAAAATTTCTATATTATGACACTAGGTAAAGTAGGGAATGAATTTGTTATGCTCCATTCTCTAAAATTCTTTAACTATATCTCTTTCCTTGCTTAATCATTTTAGCTATTATGAAAGAAAATAATAACCTGGTATATATTATATTAGGCTTAATTAACATATAATTCACCTGATGACTATGAGTCTTTGATTTTTGTTTGCTGGCTATTCTATTGGTATTTGGAGAGCAAGAAAACACCTAAAGCTATACAGAGAGAATATCCACGAATATTAGATTTTATTAGGCTTGCTAGAAAACTTTTGAAATGACTTTTTGTAAGTGTAAACCACTTTACTGTTTTTAGCATGCTTTATTTGTAATCTAGATTTGATTTGTTGATTGACTTATTATTAAACATTTAGTGTTCTTCATTATCACTAGAATAAAACAAACTTTGAAAATCTGAAAGACTATTTTGCTCTTCATACTTTATGAAGAAGGAAGTAAAAAAAAAACTATTTGGAATTCTGTGATTCAGGAATTACCACCATCAGCATTAGCATTTAGCTGTATGTTTCAGTTCTTTCTTTGTGAGGGGGGTATGCATGGTAAAGGTTAGATGGTCAAGAATTCAATAAATGAGAGTTGTTGCTACCACTCCTTCTACTGTCAGTGCTGTTGCTACTGCTGTTAATATTATTTTCATTTTTATCACATCCTCAAGGAGAATTCTAGAAATATCAAAGAAGGGCAGTCAGTGTAACTTAGAGACTGCAATGTAGAGGGCAGTGAGTAAAAAGAAGTTGGAGGGCTAAGTGTCTTATTTGGTAATTGATTGAGTGTGGTATACCTAATCAGGGCAGGATATGCAGGATCAGAAGTTGAAGACATGAATTCAGAATGCTGTATTTCAGCTGTTTATGGAATGTCCATATGAAGATACCTGGCTGACATATGGCTATCTCAGACTGGGTCTCAACAGAGAGGTCTGGAATTAAGATAAATATATATTATCAACTCAGTGTTAGAATAAGATTATGCTTTCCATTTTTTTCAAATAAATTGGACTCTCCACATCTTATTCTTCTGACAATGAAGAAACACCTTCCGAGGGTGGTGATTATAATAAGGTCAAAATTTCCATTTCTACTGACCTAGTATAAAGGTTGATTTTTATATCATGAAGAAGTTGGCAAGTCTAGATAGTTCTTTAAAGAGTCCTGTATCTTTACTGCCGTTGTAACTTTATTTGTTTATTGGTTTATTTATTTCCATTTTGGATAGTTGTCATCATTTTATGGTGCCCAGTTCAAGGGGAGAGTCCTGGGTGCTCCCTCTCAGGGAGAGGCTGGGAAAATGCGGCTGTGCTGGGGCCTCTGTATAGTTGCTCCGCCGTGATGTTACTGCTGAAAACACACAGTTCGTAGAGTAAGACCCCTCAAGAATGGCACTGTCATCTTATGAAGCAGTGTCAGGGACTAGGGAGAGGTCAAGGAAGACCGCAATGAAAAGTGACCATTGGAGCAACAAGGAGTACATTGTTGACCTGATAGGGGAGTTAGCTGGAGTAATGTGAGTGATACCCAGATTGAACAAGAATAAGGATCAAATGGGACCTGAAGGAATAAAGGACTAACATGTGCTGCTTATGAAAAGCCCTGTCCCGAGGGGAAAGGAAAGACATACAGGAAGTTTTACGTCTTTGATTGCAGTGTCCAGCATCCTGCAGTGTTAAGTGCATTGCTAAATGAGAGAATAAAGAATAAGTAGTGATTTGAGTTACTGTTCTTCCTAAATAATTAGGCTTTGACTAGAGGGTAAATTCAGATTCCTCCTGGAGACTAAATTTTGTCACATTTTTTCTGTTTCATAATAGAATTTTTTTAATGTGATGTGTATGTTTACTTGTTTTAAAAAAAATGGCATGGCTCTTTTCTAAATAATGATGACCTCTAGATGTAAGAGACTCAGTTACATCAGCAGATATGGATCAATTATTAAACGCCAATGGTTCTGTTTAACCTGTATCAATGTGTGAAATTCTTTTGAAACTCATCACCCCAACTGAGAGAGAATATGAAGTCTTTGTTTTTAAAACAAATAATCAGTAAACCAATTAAAGACCCCTGAAATGAGTAGTACAGTGACAGAATGAATGGATTAATGTAAAATCCTTTTAAGAGATTCTTAAAATCAGGAGATTTAATTTGGGCTCAAGTATTAAAAGGAATATGCCAGGGCACCTGCGTGGCTCAGTTGGTTAAGCATCTGTCTTCTGCTCAGGTCATGATCTCAGTGTCCTGGAATCAAGCCCCGTGTCAGACTCCCTGCTCAGCAGGGAAGTCTGCTTCTTCCTCTGCCTCTCCCTCTGCCCTTGCTTTTGTGCTCTCTCAATCACTCACTCTCTCCAATAAATAAAGTCTTTAAAAAAATAAATAAAAATAAATAAAAGGAATATGCAGGAAGCCTGCTCCTGGCCAATATTGAAACACACTTTGGGCTCAGTCCCTCTCTGCGGCTCAGTCTCTCTCCACAGGAGGGAAAGGCATAGTCCATTACCTACGGTGTGTCAGCCCAGGTGTGCAGAGAGCCTCTTTTTGGCAGTGCCAAGAGTGTATGTGGTAATGAGGCTACAAGTTGAGGGAGTGATGGCAGTGCTTGCTTTGCTGGTTTACTTTTTTCTGACTTGAAGACTTCTTTGCAGGCGAGCGTCCCTATCAGTGCCCTTACTGTGAAAAAGGATTCAGTAAAAATGATGGACTGAAGATGCATATTCGGACTCACACCAGGGTAAGATGATTTTCTGTCTCATTAATATTTATTATAAAACTATACTTAGTTTTTTTGAGAAGACATATAACTTGGCATGAGAAAGTAAAAGTGATATATCTAAAATTATATGTTTGTATTTATGATGGACATTTGGGGATCAATTCTAAAAAAAGACAAAATAACAAAAGAAGCAAAAGTCCAAACTCCAGATGGGTCCCCATTCTTTGGATTAGGAATAAGTGCTTAGGAGTAACAGGAATTATAAACGGCAAACTGCCAAATAAATAGATCGCAGCGTTTTAAGATGGAAAAGTATAAAAGACGCTGCCTCGCAGAGCGTTTGCCAGTAATAAGAACATTCTTGAATAGAGGCGTCTGTAAGCATGTGACCACTATTTAATACCCATGAGCAAATACCTTTGCAAGAAAGATGTTGAAAATAATGTAAGTTATTGGAAGGGGCAGAAAACAGGAAAGGACAACTCACTGCTTCACAGGGTGCTGCCTTCCATTCTTTTACAAGGGTGCCCTGTGTTCTTTAGCTTGTCAACACCTCTCATTGCACTGTTGTCATTCTGTTATATACGGCTTTCCCAAACTCAAGCATGTGCCTCCCCAGCTATGTAAGAACCTGGGAGCAGCTTACCCTCCATCCATTTCTTAACTCACTATTCTGTTTAGGGCACAGTGAGATACTTTATATGAACTTTCCACTTGGAAATTTGATGTTTTGAGTAGTTCCTTGATTTTGCTTTACCCTTCTTTTCACTGCATTATCTTCCACCCCCTTCCTTCTCAGTCTGGCCTTTTAGAGGTGCTTATTGTCTGTACATAAAGACAGACAGCTTTGAAGAGACTTGCTTCATCCCCTAAGAGCAATTCTAATTTCAGCCTTTCCTGGATTTCACTTTTTACCTTAGCTCTAAAATAAAAATGTTAGAGAAAATACATAATAATAATAGCCTTTCCAGTATAATAATATTCTGGCCTTCCACTTCAGTTCTGTAGGCCATAAAAGATACCCCCAGAGGTCTTGTGAAGAAAATCACTCTTTTTGTCTTTCTGGTGGAGGACAGAGGCAGCTTCTCTACTCATTAAACCAAATCCATAGCAGGTTTCTCCTTCTGGTTTATAACATCATATTTATATTATATGAATATTAGTAATTGGAGTACTTACTGGATATAAAATTACTTCATAAACAATAAAGGATTAGACAAATATGACTGCTTATAATGATATGACTTAAATATTTATTTCACCTTGAACATTATTAAAGAGATTTAAGTTACTTTTAGTTCAGCTTGGGAAGTTATCTCATGTGTGCAGTTTTCATAGTGGTGTTAATAAGATGTTTTAAAGATGCCAGCGCACAAACTAAGGGACCCTGGTTCTTCTCAGCCAAACTAGCGATATTAACCAATATCTGCGCTTGATGGGGTACCTAACTATATTATCGCACATGATTACTGATGATAGATAGGATTATACAACAGAAGAAAATCACTGCAGGAAAAACTTACCTTTTGGGTCCTCTCAAGAGAGTGTGATATTTCCAATTCAGTTAATTAGTTTTTTACTTTGTTTTAATATAAAGTTTATTAATGAGGCCAATACAAATAGTTATAAATACAAGACCACTAATCCCATGCCAGGTGCTTGTCTGGACCCTCATATTCATTTAAGAAGCCTCCCAAAATTTAGATCTTTTAACAACCTGTTTAAATTTAAAAATTCTTTAAGGCCTCTATAAGGTAGATATTATTATGATCCCTTTTTTAAAAAATGAGAAACTGGGGCACGAGTCAGTAAGGAGCCCGACTGAGATGGGAACCCAAGCAGATCAGCTAGTCGACCCCCTTACCTCGTACATATGTTTGCCTTTCATTTACTTAAATATTTTGACTCTACTGACTGGTATACTTTCTTGTGTATTTTTAAACTAAACAAACTACAGTAACAACCCCAAATTTAAAAGCCTCATGTTCATTTGAATATTTGAGCCTTGACTCAAGGAAACTGCCTGAAGGTGTCCAGGTGCGGTGGTACCTCTTAACAGCTCTCGAGCACTAAAGAAAACAAATCCCAGCCTTTGATTAAGGGAACACCTGACAGGGCCTCAACTAGAAGCACCCAGATTTTAGACAGAATCCCATACAATTAGTGGAACACTCCAGAGGAACAGGGTAAGTAGATCTGAGCCTTTCAGGTTTTGCCTCAAACTCTTCTTTAATTCTTTTTCATGCATTATTTGTATATTATCACAGACAGCTTTAGTTTTGAAATTACGTTTCCTAAACATTGAATGGATACAGATATTCTTCGCATATTAGTGCAGCTTTCCAAAAACTGATTATCAACTGATACAATCTAATTAATATCAAGATCCAAGAGACTTTTTTTAAAAGTTCTAGAGGAACAATCTGTGCAAATTCGTATTTTTCCCAATAGTACTTGGGTTTTATAGAACCAAATACAAAAACGATATTATGACATTTGGACCATAACACATATCAGTTTCAGTTTTGTATTAGTATTTAGATAGTTCTAATTCTGGGAGTTTTTGTCCTATTTCAAAAGATCATTTTAATTCCGCTACAAGAACAACAACAAAAACTGTACTATTCAGCAAGTTAAATCTTTGAGAAGTTTTGGTTAGTCTGCACAAAATGCCATGCCATGCCTGCACCCTCAGATTCACATTCTTTGGTTACTGCATGGAAGCCTTAACAAGGGAACACAAAATGCTTTCACTCCAGTTATCATTTATGTGGTCCAGTAAGGACTGCAAGTGTGGGAGACGATTTTGCTAGAATCCATATTTTACTAAAAGGCTAAATAGTCATTGGTCCTTTATGGAGAGGCCACAGCGTAAGTCCTTTTATCCATTTCCTTCAATGTAGTATACTTTCTCCTTATTTTTGGTTTTTAACACTATGTTGGGCTAGATGTGATTTTCTTTGTATCCATCCTGCTTGTATCTACAGTTTGTTATTAATAGCTGTATTTTAGAAAACTCTCAGCTATGTTTTAAATATTACTTCTTTGGTCCCTTTCTTTCCTTCTTCTTCGTAGAAGATTTTGAGTACATGTGTTAGATCGTTTGATGTTGTTCCATAGCTCTTGATAGTTCTCTTCTGGTTTCTTTTTGCTTTGGTTGCTTTTTGATTTTTAATCACCATGTTTTTCTTCTTGTTGTTTGTGTTTCATATAATTTCAGTTTCACTGAATCTTTCCTCTGTTGTTACCAGTCTGCCTGTTGAAGGAGTTCATCTTCGATACCATGTTTTTCACTTCTAATATTTCCATTTGGCTTTTAAAAAATTACTTCCACATTGCTGTTAAAATTACCCATTTGTTTGTGCATGTTGTCCACCTTTTCACTGGATTATTTAACACATTAATTATAGTTATTTTAAATTGTCTGAGAGTTTCACCATCTGGGCCATCCTTTGATCTTGTTGTGTTGTTTGTTCTGCCTGTTGATAATAGGTTTGGGTGAGTTGCTTTTTGTATGTCACACAAAATTTTTATTCAGTGCCTAATTACTGTATGTAAAAGAATAGTAGATACCAAGCTAAATATTATTTATACCTAAAAATAGGTACACCTCTCTTTCTTCCAGGCCATTAATGTAAGGGGTTGAGCCAATCTAGTCAATAGTTGAATGAGCTTTGGGTTTTATTGTTGCTATAGGTACTGTGGGCTTTAGGCTTCTCCCATGTTGGGCTGCAATTTTGACATTCTTACTGGGAAGTCTGGAAGTTCAGGGGTTTTCTACAGTAATTCTCCTCTACCAAACAGACACTGTATGCCTTTGCCACAGTAGAATTTTCTCTCTCTCTGTCATTGTCCCTTTACTGGTTGCAGTCTGCTAGTACATGTTACTCAGCATGAGATGTGAGTGGGACAGAAAGCTCTCTTGGTTCTCCTACTCAAGCAATAGAGTGAGGCAGGTGCTATGTACCTGAGCCTCTGAAATGGAACTTTCTCAGCATTCCTGCCCTTGGCCAGTGGTGGGCAAATTCTGCCTCTGCCTTTGTTCAGGTCTGGAGCTGCAGTGTCCTAGGCACTGGACATGTGGCTATTGGAAATGTAATTGTAATTAATTGTAAATACATGGAATTGGAATTTAATAAAAATTAAGGCTGATTCATAGAATGCATAGCTTGTGGCTCTATCAGACAGCACAGTTATAAAACATTTCTGTCATCACAGAAGAGTCTATAGCACAGGTCTGAAAGGGCAGGTGGCTGAACTTGGCCTTGTGTCAGTGAAGAGTTTTAGGCATAAGTGAGGTTGCTGCTCCTCTTCTGGCAGTGGTAGACCTCTTCTCCACATCAATGTGTATCTCTGGCAAAAGCAGGTCCAAGAGTGCCTCCCCTTTGAGTTCCTGCAGGGTGCAGGGTGTGGGCAAGCTTCTGTTCTTCCCCAGAGGCAAAGCCCTTCACCTGGGACCAGCGTGTGCAAGGGGCTCCTGCCTCACCCCCAGTCACTGATGGCTTTTGCCTCCTGATGGAGATAAGAAGTCTTGGCGAGACTGAAGTTGCTCATTTCCTGAGTCAGAAGGGTCTGTGGCCTTGTGCTTATACCCTGGTAGTGGCCAGTCACCACCTCACGGCCACACAGTGACCAGAACACAGATGAGTGCCTTTTGGTGGGCCTGTTCCAACCTGAAACCGTGTCAGGCCCTGCAGCCTGCATCATGACGGGGCTCTCCAGTCCTCCCAGCTTGCCCCTCATCTTTCTCACCAGCACCTGGTGGCACCAAGGGAAAAGAAGCTGTGGATGATGTGGACTTCCAGTGTCCTTGGATCCCCCCGTTCTGATCTGAACCATCCCGATAGCCCACCGTGGACCTTTAAGAATCCTTTAAAGTTTTACTTGTTTTCTTCCTACCCACTGACTGAGCTGACAGCTGCCTCATCCTTGGTGCTGTGACCAAGGGGAAAGAGTTCTTGCGTTCTTTCTCTGTGGCCTTCAGTTCACCTTCTTCTCTGGGGACTCACAAAACATCC